GGAAGAAGCTGTTACCTTTTGAGTCGGGGAGTTGGGTGTCTCTCTGGAAGGAAAAATACGAGTCCCAGAGCTGATAACAAGCTCCATTACACCACAGGATGTCTTGTCCTGTAGGCGCACCCCATTGATGCTGGTGCTGAAATCCCGGCACCGCCCTGACTGTCCCGTTAGTGCACGGGTTCCAACTGTGAGCTCCGTGAGGCCCAGGACCTTCCCCCTATCCCCACCCCCATAGCCTGTGCCTAGCACAGGGCTGAGCACAGGGAAGGTAGTAAGTGTTCTGGAGTGAAAGAATTCTATGGATTGGCTCCTCATATCCTATAAATTCTTCTTCCAGAAGTCGTTCTCTTACCTACAGTCCTCCTTTCTATTCCCAGGGTCGGTGTAATGGATGCTGCGAGCCACCCAGACTTCCCTCACGACGACCACACACTCATTCCCCTCGATGATCAAAGCCAAGTCCCTCCCCAGGAACTGCCCTCCTTCCAAAGGAAGCTGCATCCCCAGGGTTGAGTCTCCTTCAGGGGCAGCCCTCACCCAGTAACTGATCCACGCTGGCGGAAGGTCTGGCCAGAGCACACCAGGAAGGGGACAGCGCCAGAGAAGAGTCAGGCACGCCACGCCCAGGGCTCTCGCCGGATGGGACCCAGGGCAGCGCTAGAGCCCCCTGACACTGGCTGACACCGTGGTTGTAACTGGATGTTCTTGTTAAGCCCCAGATCCGCCGAACACTGGGCTGCAGATGTGACCCACTTCCTCCCGCTCGAAGAGGACTCAAAGGCTGTTCCTGCCCTTCACAATCTGCTCCCACCTCCCCTTCTGGCTGCCTGGCCAATAACTGGCCAAGCACACCACCCCCTGGCCAGGGCAGTGCCGGGTCTGCTAAGGGAGGAAAGGGACTACCTGTTGGAGGACCGTGAGACCCTGCCCGTGTGCACTGGCAGAAGCGAGGAGAAACCACATAGGACTGGGTCTGCAGGGGGTGGGGCGAGAGGAACAGAATATAAAGTTGGGTAAGAGAGAGTTTATCTCTGCAGCCAGTCCAGGATGTGGTGCGAGCAGCCTTGTGGCTGGGTCCACCCAACCCAGTAACCTTAAGGTATTCAAAGCATCTAGGATGGGCCATGGTGCTAAGGAGTTTATGGAAGCCTAACTGGAGAATCTCAGTGTAGAACCGTAGGGTGTCTTTTGGTCCCTCCTTGTCCACTTGAAATAGCAAATGGTCAGTTCGGTACAGCAGTTACTGCTTGAGAAGGGCAGGGTGACCAGGGACGCAGAGCTTTCAAGGATGAAGGAGTCGGTCATCCCAGCAAGTAAGCCGGGAGGTAAGAGCAGGTAAGCGCCTGAACGAGCAGAGGTGCTGGTCCAGGAGGAATCTCAAAAGGGTAGTAGAGGAGGGGGTGGCGGGTGCAGCGGTGCTCGGCCCACAGTCCCCCTCAGGAAGGAGGCGAGCGTTCCCCCAGCTGCCAGGAGGGGTGCCCTCCGCAGTGAGGGTTCTCAGGACACTCATGGTTTTCATTCAGGACATCTTAGAAGGGCCCGTCCAGCTCCAGATCTCCCTATAGATGTGGACTCAAGTCTTTGTGGTCACTGCATCACAGTTCAGTTCCTCCCTCTGCTCAGCCCAGCCTCCTGTGCTCCCTCACACACATGGCCCTGAAAGCACTCCCCAGTTCACTTCCTGTGCAAAACTGTCAGGCTCGGGTCTGCGAACACAGGCGCTAACCCACTAGTCACACCTCCCAGCCAACACTGCCTCAAGGCTGAATCACAGCAGCAGCTCCCACCGACTTCCTGGGGCTCCCCTCGCAATTCCAACATCCTGGGCACCACCACTGAGAGGAATTTGCCCCAGTATTATGTGTATTGTCTCAGGCAAATTACTGAACCCCAGGTAAAAGAAAAAATGTACCAGGTTAAAATAAACTTGTACGTCAGTGGGAAACTATACATAGCTATAACACATCCTTCTGTCTTATCAGATCCTGACTCAGTGGGAGCTACTTTATAACATTGTAAGTTGTAGGTAACTGATAAGACATGTAAATTTGGTCCCCTTTAGGAGAGGTTCAATTGACTCCTCCTCTCAAAACATTTGTCTCTATTTACATTTCAACATTCCTCTACTCCATAAAAATGTGCTTTCAAAAACATTAAATTTGAGCCTGTTATAACATGGGGTTAATTCTTCAGATTAATGCATCAAATAAAACCTTGAACATGTGCACATTTTTGTATCTGAGTCATGATTTTACCTTCTCCTGAAAAAAAATTTTTTTTTGCCCTCAATTTCCACATACGTAAGATGATGAAACATCTGGCAGGCTTGTTCTGGTGCACAGTGGGGACTTCCTTGCTGCATCAACCTTTTTCAAAGAAACTCATTATGGCTTTATATAGAGTCCTTTCGCTGGAACTTGCAATGTAAGAGTTACCATATGCCAGTCCTTAGCCACAGACATGTCAGTAACCTGTTTGTTCCTTTTCACTGTTAGATCAATTATGTTTAATCAGTCTATCACTGTAATTTATTATCTTCATCCTTGGATATGGAATATTTCAAGATCAGATAACTTTACAACAATCCTTTTCAGGTTAAGCAGACCCCAAATTTTAAATGTTCTTTTAAAAATAGTTTTTACTGATTTTTTTAAACACTTGCTTGCCCCAATTTCTAGAACTATAAATTAATAAACTGGCACTCTGACCAACATATTGATCTTCTACTACTTTTATTATTACTGAATTTATTGGGGTGACATTGGTTAAATTGTTTCAGGTGCACAATTCTATAAACATGTTTATTGTATTGTGTTCACCACCAAAAGTCTTCTTCCATCACCACTTTTATCTCTTTATCTTCTACCTCCCGCATCCCTCCCTTCCTCTAGCAGTTACCATACTGCTATTAGTTTTGTGGGGCTTTTTTTGCTTAATATCTAACTTTTTCACCCAGCCCTCTCTCCTCTAACAGCTGTCAGCCTGTTCTCTATGTGTCTATTTCTACTTTACTAAATTCCACATAAGTGAAATCATATGGTATTTGTCTTACAGGTTTATTACACTTAGCATAATACTCTCCAGGTCCATCCATGCTGTCACAAAAGGTAAGATGCCCTTCTTTTTTACAATCGAGTAGTATTCCATTGTGTAAATCTCTAATTCATCCACTCATCTACTGATGGGCACTTGGGCTGTTGCTACATCTTGGCTATTGTAAAGAATGCTGCAGTGAACATAGGGGTGCATATATTATTTTGAATCAGTGTTTTGGGTTTCTTAAGATATATTCCCAGAAGTGGAATTGCTGGGTCATAAGGCAGTCCATTTTTAACTTTTTGAGGAAACTCCATACTGTTTTCCACAGTGGCTGCACCAGTCTGCATGCCCGATGGTGCACGAGGGTTCCCTTTTCTCCATATCCTCACCAACACTGGTTAATCGATTGATTAGAGCCATCCTGACAGGTGTGAGGTGCTATCTCATTGTGGTTTTAATTTTGCATTTCTCTGATGACTAGAAAGCTTGAGCATCTTTCATGTCTGTTGGCCATAAGTATGTTCTCTTGAGAGAAGTGTCTATTTAGGTCCTTTGCCCATTTTTTAAATGGATTTTCTTGGTGTTGAGTTTTATAAGTTCTTTATAAATTTTGGATATTAAGTCTTATTATTAGTTGGTTCTGAAGTTAATTCAGATTCTGAAAAAATATCAGGTTTCTAAAATAAACCTTTGGTTCTGACAAAATCAAGTTTAAGTAGTAACCTACAAACCCAAAAGCCAGTCATAGTTGGATAGGCGATCTGCCTCCCCCCGGAACCTCTCCCCCCACACATGAATTCTACCTCTTAAGGCCGCCTTACTCCATCTAAAACACACTTTGTGCAACTGTAGCTACAAAATAATGCTGATGGAAATTTCATTATGAAAACAATACATCTTAAACTTGACTTGATCTTCCATGCTGTCTAGAAGAGCAGGGCTGAGTGAGGGTCTTGCATCTTCAGGCCAACGTTCCGTTCCCATCAGGCCTGCAGCGAGGCCACGAGCAGACGAGCCTGGCTGCCGTGGTGGTTATGCCGTGCCACCTACGGGCGACACAGCAGCTGTCCTGTTTCAGGACTTGCCATTTCTTTGGCCTTCTCACCCGTGACCCCTGGTTACCTACAGGTTTCCTTTCTGACTTGCTCCCCAGAGGGTGACATACAGGTTGACAAACAGGTATCAACTAGAGACACGTTGGAACTTATGGGATGGGACAGTCTCTGGTTCCCAGAGGAAAAGATATTACCACAATGAAGCTACTTTTTGACACCTGTCCTCTGGCCCCATGTTTTCAAAGAAAAGGTCTACAGTCACACAAAATGAATCATAAGCATGTGGACTGAATGGTTTTCAGTAATTAAACCACTTTATTTCTCTAAATACCCCTCCCAGCTCAAAAAGAAAAAAAAAAAAAGAAAAAACAGATACAGTTCACTTAGTTTTTACCTGGAACACATTTCAGTGCTTAGGCTATCAATGGAGATTGTGTTCCATTTAGAACAAACTAAAAGGTTAAACTTGGTGCTGGAAAACAACCCTGCACTGGCTATCTGTGTGCTGTTACCGCAGCGACACCACCCAGTGAGCCATATCTGATGTAGGAGAGTCAAGTAACTGCTGAAAAGAAAACATGGGAAAACCCATGGTGTTGTGACTGAAGAGGAAATACTGATTTTTAAATAATAATGTGACTGCATTTTAAACAGATCCTGCAGGCATGCAGAACATTGCTGAGATCCGTGTATCTTTCATTGGCTTACGGGTTTTAGCTGAAGAGTCTGGCCTATCTCTATGATACATTTTGAATTATGTACATTTCTATTGTAAGATGAATTACCTGTTTATAGGCCAAATGTTTCAAATGATTCAGAACCAAGCACGTTTTTAAAATGTATTATGCAGAATTTAATATAGTACATGCTAATTTTTCTTAATTTGACAAAAATGGACAAAAGGCAAAATGGAAAAAGAAATTTATTTCCTCAGTGTTTTATCCACTGTCGATACTGTATTTTTGATGCAATATATTTGCAAAGAAAAAAAAATACAATCTCAGCTTTTATTTTCCATTTTAAACAACTGCAATATTTACAAACTGTTTAGAATAACAATCACTCACACACACTCACACACACACACTCACACACACACGTTGAGTACATTTCTCATCTCGGGTTTATGCTGGATGCTGGTAGAGGCAGTGAACCCTTCCGGAGCCCGCCATCAGACAGAGAGGCACTGCCTTCCTCACATCTGCCTTCCCCGAGTCACTCCCAGTAGCCTCTTCCTCTCCCTCAGCAGAGCGCACTACCAGGCTCGTATAGTTTTTACAATTATCTTTATTTAAACTACAAGCTTTTAAAAAGCATAAGCAGACATGATTCTGCCCCCATTTCTATACTTTTGGTTGTAGAATCAAGCTTCATAATTTAGAAAATCTCATTGAACTACAATGCCACGAAACCCCCGTCATTCTCCACTGCTCCTCTGTCTTGAGTTCCAGGTTATCACCCCATCTGTGCTAGTAACACCCTGTTCACTCTGACCACAACCTTAGATGACCTTTGTTCCTTAGCTTGGCTCCACTGCATCATAAACTGTCAGGTGCAGAGCTGAGGCCTAAGAAAGCAAGTATAATCCTATGTAATAGGCCAAGTCTTAGGACAGAGCTGTCACGAACCCTGCGATGACTAGCAGCTCTGGTTCCCCCAAGAGCGTTACGCTGCTTCTGTCAACTGGCAGATAATGAAGGTCAGCTCATACACAGACTTACCTACTCTAATCCCAGAAAGAGTATGTGGCTGATAAGCAATTAAAAGAAATTCTTATCACACATAAGTCTTTACAGATTATTTTGATGAGGTGACTCAAAGCAGAAACCATACTTCCGTTTTTAAGCAAAATTAATACTCCATTCACATACCTGCCAGAACTATTTGTATAATAAATTCCTTTTCAACCACAACTCTTACCTAAATATCTAACAAGTTAAAAATGAGGCCTAGATGTATATCAGCTATATTTTTTTAAAAAGAGAAACAAAGAGAAGCTGGTTTTCTAATACTTAAAATAACCCTCTCTACATAGCCAATGTAATATTAAAATGTAGGGTGCACAAATACACAGTGATGGCTCATTTTCCTTTCTCCAGATCAACAGAACTCACTTTCTACCTGACTGAGACAGAAAGCCCCCAGTTATCATCTCTGCCTTTACTGACATTCATTATTCTCCCCACACTTGGAATTGAAGGCAAAGCCTCTAGATAAAAATTGATGTTTTATACCTCATTTGTGTCCAGGCAAAGTAACTTTATATTATCACATTACACTATAAAAAACAACAAAAACTAAGAATGAATACTGAGGACTTAAAAATAATGAAAATAAACACAAAGCAATTAACAACTGGGCTGCAGTTTATCGTTCAGCAGCCAGTAAATATAAACTCAAAGAATTCTCACTCATTTTACTGTTACCTTCTTCTCAAGCCACATATTTAGGAGGAAGGGTTTTTAAAAGTTAACTAAAAGAAAAAGGTAATTTTAGACTCTGAGCAAATCATAAAGACCCTGTTCTGGATGAACGACTCAATGCAGCCATCAACCAAATGAAGATTTTCTCAAAGAGGCAGAGGAGCTGCTCAGAATTTATTAAGGATAAGTAAGCTACCCTTGCTTAGATCTGAGGCTGTTCTTTGTATTTTGATACAAAATGTAAAAATAAACCAACCCAGAAAGAGAGTTCACATCTTCTTAATGAGATGTAGTTTCCTACATAAAAACTTGTATTTTCATTGCCTGACACTTAGTACAGAGGAATTTTCCTTATCTCATAACAGAAACACTGTCTGACTACTTCTGTTTCAAAGATTATCTCAGATATACTTGAAATACCTTTAAAAATACTTCAAACTTAATGGAAGTTAACCTTCCAGTAATGGAAACTCTAAGAAAGCAGAACACTGATGAAGGTTGTTCACTAATTTCCTGAAAGGTAGCTAATCTCCTTTTACCATAAAAATATACAGTCTTACCACCTACTCTCCCAAGCCCCTTAAATATCAACATATTAATTTAGGCTCTTTTAAAAAAAATTGGTTCTTTAGAAATAAGTGAACATTTAAAGTCTTATCAAGTATTGAAAATGGAGTAAAAAGAGGGCTCACACCAATTTATAAGCTGAAAGATTAACTAAAAGCTTAATTTTGAGCTATACAATTATTTTTACCTCTGAGTGAGAGGAAACAAGAAGAGAAGCTAACATTATATACAGTCCAGGATTCTCTTTCAAAGGGGAAAAAATAAAATCAAACAACAACAAAAGGCATTAATGAAACTCTACTTAAAGGAAATAAATAAAATACTAGTTTTAATTTCATATTTTTACTTTCAATTTATGGAACTCTGAAAGTTTTGCAACTGTGAAGTAAAGACACTAATTATCTCTGCTGGTCTCACACATTAATAAAAATGTAAAGCAGGGAATCGAAATGGCTCACTATTCTGAGGGGTGGGGGTAGAATAAGACATGTATGATCAATTTAACGGAAGTATATTCCTATTTAATAATTTAGGTCAAATTATTGTTAAGAAAGAAATATTTCTTCAATTATCACCTTTTCCCCTAATGCAGTTATTAGAAAAGTACTATAATTTGTAAAAGACTACCCATTTTAGCCTTAAAAAATAAGAACAGGGTTCCTGATTCATAAAACTTCACTAAAGAGCTATCTGATAACAAAATTCAACCTGTTTTGAGGAAAATGTCCTAGTTGCTACCCCAAATCAAGATGCAATGAATGTGTTCCATATAAAATTTAGTCTGGCATTTGAAATCTGGCTTTTAGGAGTGTGTTTAACAATTGGGGTTAGGAAGTAGGGGCTAGGAATAAAAGTAATTCTAGCCATTCTGACTAAATCATCTGAAATTCAGATTTTCTGTGTATGTATGTAGGAAAGTGAATTATTTTCCATTTAATACTAAATATTAGTATTTAGTAGCATTTAATACTTATCTTCTCACCGAGGTAACGACCATAAAAAGATCACATTTATTTCAAAAAGGGGACAGGCAAAGGGGAGCAAAATTCCTGTGAGAAGATTTTAAATAAATATACATAGATAAGCATATATATATTTTCAGAAGAAGAAAAAAAAGAGCCTGAACTTTAATGGCATACTACAGAACTGCCAAAAAAAAAAAAAAAAAAAAAAAGGCAAATATAGAATACAGTGACAGTATCAGGGAAACACATTTTGATTGGTCAATTTAGAAAGGGTACCTTTGTGCAAAGGTTTACAAAATCATTGACAAATGTTTTTAAACAGTAAATTTTACAAAGTGTGAAGTCTGGAAATGTTAACACAAGGCACATTGGGTCCTGAATAACCACAAGAATGTTAAATTAGAAAAAGGAAAAAGAAATAGATTTTAAGTGGAAATGCAGTAAGAAGCATTTATTTATTTCCTTCCTTAGTTTTCATTCCTTCTACTGAAGTGCTATGCTACACTGTAAGATCTATATTACAATTAGTGGGAAAAACAGCTTCTCTCTCCTGTCACCTCATAAAAAAGAGACTTTAAACCCACGATGTCCAATACAGTAGCCACTAGGCAGTGTCTAGAGAGCACTTGAAATGGGCTAGCGCCACAGGCTGAGACTGTAATACTTTGGATATAGTAGGTTACGTAGAACGCTTGATGAAGATTAATTTCACCTCCTCTGACTGTCCATTCAGGCGGTAGAAAGACGGCTGCTCTTAAACGCTCAGAAGAAATGTACAGTCTTCTTTTTCACTTAACAAGGGAAAATTTTCAGAAGAATTTAAAAAATGCCAACAGTTGACAAATCTAAATTGCAGTTCCCACCCAGCCCAATTGTAAATCATATAAATTTCCCTGAATACATGCATTTAAAAAAATAAAATTTATGTTATGAGACAACATATGAATTAAGTCAATTTACAGTTATAAATATTTCAAATTACAGCTAAACACTATAAATTATAGGAAATAAAATTCAAGTAATAGAAAAAGGAGAGAAAAATTAAAGAAGTTATTAAAGAGGGATATAACAATAAGGACTGCACCGTTTGGATAATTTTGTTTGAAAAAACTTTACTTAACTGAACTGCATGTAAATAACTTCAAGAGCTAAGAACTCTTAAAATAAAAGGCAATCAATCCTCTCTTTAAATTCCTGGACGCTCATCTTTTTCTTTGAAAAGCACAAGTGCTTCCTTCCCAGGACTGGCCCCGAGAGTGTGCCGATGGAGAGCAGCAAGGACCTGGGGCCCACCGCTGGAGCTCACCCACGATGCAGACTCGGGAGCTGGCAGAGTGTGCGCAGGACTGGCTCCGGGAAATGTCAATCATGACGCTATTCTCTCTTGAGATTTAGTATTCATTTCAAAGACAGCCTCCAATGTACTGGCATCAAGCACAGACTATTAACAGAAAAATGGGCAGCATAGTTCCTGATACGTATGTTTATAAGGGAGGGGAAGGGGTTAATCCCAAAGTCAATTTAAATAATGGTATTTTATTTTTATATATAAATAAATGTTCTGAAAAATCTCAGACTTTAGTGCATTGTTGTAAAAAATTAGTGCAGTTTTTCTTCATTAAAGTTTTTAGCGCTCAAGGAATAAGATAAATATGTCTGTTCATAGTCTCTCACTGTACATTAAGCCTTTATACTGCTCTATGTCCAACTGAAGGTTTCTACACGGATCTGTTTTTAAAAATCAAAGTAAATGGATTTCATGTTCTATGACAAAACATGGCAATTATTTTTGGCAAAGAAATGAGAAAATATAAGATCGGCGAAGTTTAGAAATTAAGAGTTTGTTGATTTAAAGCATAGGCAATGAATATGAAAAAACTCTTAAAGGATGTATTTTAACAGAACTTGATCCTTCATGCAAAATGTTTTCTCAGCAGCTAACTTAAAAAAATATTTCAGCTTTATTTGGGGATGAAGACAGTCACAGGAGTCAAGGCGAAGGGCGAAGGAGAGGCGCTTAGCCAAGCCCATTCTGTGTTAAAGTCTCTCCTTTTGGGATGGAAAGATCCCTGTAGGCGTCCTCTGCTCTCGCCTCTCTTTCTCCAACGTCTCGGAATTGACAGGGGCAAGAAACGTAGTTACAAAACACTGGCTCACACTTCAGCCCCAAGTTCAAGCACCCCGGTTTCCACCACAGTCACGTACTTATCATCGATCTGGACCAGAAGTACTGTCTTGTCAATGTGGGACCTAGTACCTGGGTCTCTGCTGCAAGGCACCCATCGGTGAATCACCTAGTGGTTCAGAATGAAACAAGGCGTTAGTGGCAGGACCCTGAACATGCTCACGAGCTCTTGCCTTCGCTCAATTCTATGAGATAATTTAAACATAAGGACGTAAGTCAACTAAAAACATGCATACAAATCAGCCAGGCTACAAAAAAGTCAGAGCAGGCAACCAGCTTCATAAGAAAACTTACATGGCCTTCCATACCCTCCTGAGGACTCCAGTCTTTCCAGCTGTTTCTCCCAGCTTTTAACCGAATACCCTCATCAGGCCACTGCAGCTCTTTCCTTTTTGACAGGTTGATCCCATCCAGAATTTGACTGGGATCCACAATCTATATTGTAAATAAATATAGATCATTTCCAATTAATTTTTCTCTTGAAGATGAAAAATTATATAATTCCAAACAAAATTTCACAGGACTCTTTGTGTCTCAAGTTCTCTACTGCCTATCGTATATAATAAAAACCTAGTATGCTAAGTGTCTGGCCAACGGGTCGGCTGTTCAACTATTCAAAGTGTAATATGCTAATGATATGCTAAGGCTGCTCAACCACTCGCTATGACGTGCACTGACCACCAGGGGCAGACAGTTGTCTGGTCGACCAGTCGCTATGATGTGCACTGACCACCAGGGGGCAAACGCTCCGACCAGTAGGTTAGCTTGTTGCTGGGGTTCGGCTGATCAGGACTGAGTGAGACAGGCCAGACATGCCCTGGAGCCCTCCCGCGGTCCCTCCCCAGCTGGCCAACCTCCCACATCCCTCCCTGGCCCCAATTGTGCACTGGTGGGGTCCCTCGGGCTGGCCTGCCCTCTCTTGCAATCTGGGACCCCTCAGGGGATGTCGGAGAGCCAGTTTTGGCCCAATCCCGCAGGTCAGGCCCAGGGACCCCACTGGTGCATGAATTTGTGCACTGGGCTTCTAGTAATGAAATAAAAAACAATCTAAAGAGCCACCTCCCAAATTCCTTTCAGTCTACTGTTAGACCTTCTGCAATGGCCACACAACCACAGCTGGGAGGGAACACATCACCACTGAAGAACTGCTTGCTTTCAGTTACACACTGCCAGAAATGTTCTAGTCTTCAGACTAAGTAATATAAGATTGTTTTCACCACAGTCCTTCACTCAACAAACAGGAAATAAAAACAAACGCATAAGAGAAACAGTGCACGAAGAACCTGGGCTTACTCACTTGGACTCTGTAAATCACCTCCCCCTTTTTGGCGTGTGCATTATTGGCAGGACTTAAGGTGTTGCCTGGCGGTGCATCAGGAGCACTACTGCTCTGACCCCCGTCTGTCCCAAGAAAGCCCACGAGAGTGTGATGCTTGCAGGCCGGGATGCTTTGGCTGGAGCTGCTGGAAGAAGGCAGACCATGGTGCACACAGGCCATGCCGCTCTGACCGGAGGGTTCCATCTGGTTCACCATGGAGAGGCGGGACTGGATGGAGGACGGTAAGTTTCGAAGCGATATCTGACTGGTAGAGGAACGCCGACAAGGCACAAATCCTGTGGTGGACATCCGGAGGGACGAATGCCGGCTGCTGTAGCAGTAGGAAGACTGGCTGGCTACGGAGGCCCGTGCTGGGGACTGTCTGACCAGGCCTGACTGCACAGAGTGAGTGCTGTGGCTAGTGCCTAGGGGACAAACAATAGCACTCATTCTAAGTGGAATGAGTCAAACAGTCCTTTTTTTGTTTTTGTTTTTGTAGATTCTAAGGCTTTGTCCCTTAAGCAATTACTTGAATTTAACATTTACTCCTAAAAATTCAAAATTGTTAAAAATAAATATCTGAGATCTGTTTTCTTGTATGGTTTTTATAACATTAATTTGCTGAAGCATTTTAAAATTCAAATTTTGAGGCAAAAGAAAGACGACCAAATAATTTATAGTAAATATCAGGATTTAATGTTGGAATAAATCCTGTAAGTTTCACAGATACATTTTAGAACAGTGGTCGCCAACCGGTGGTCCATGGACCACTGGTGGTCTGTGAGGTCCGAAAGGTTGGCGACCACTGTTTTAGAATAACAAGAATTCTTCTTTAATCAGAAATGAGATATCTCATGGAAATATTAGTAAGGATCTACTACGTGGCAGGCTCTAGAACTATTTCTCAAAGTATTGTATTAATACCCTCACAATCTATTCCAATGACAAGCTGCACTGCCTATCAATAACACTATAATCTTCACAGATATTAAGGGATTACTTATAACTATGAATTATCAGTGATACTTAATAGGTTTTTCTGTGTTCTTTTTCAGATGAATTAATATGATTCTTCAGATCTGTCCTTTTCCTGGCTCATAGTGATGTGAAGATTATTAGAAAAAATTACAGCCCAGCAGTGTGGCTCAAGGGTTGAGCATCAACCTATGAACCAAAAGGTCACGGTTCGATCCCCACTCAGGGCACATGCCTGGGTTTCGGGCTTGATCCCCAGTGAGGGGCATGCTGGAGGCAGCTGATTGATGATTCTCTCTCATCACTGATGTATGTTTCTCTCTCTCTCTCTCTCTCTCTCTCTCTCTCTTCCTCTCTCTGAAATCAAAAGCATATTAAAAAATAATTATTATTAATGATATTGAAAAAATAGCAATAGGCACTTTTTATCTGAAAATTAAAAAGTAACCAATGTAAGAGAAAGGTAATTTAAAGAAGCACATTGACGGTTTTCAGTGTTTGCTCAGAAGGTAAAGAGCAACCTATGAAATGTTGATTATACACCTATTCAGAATCTTAACAATTCCAGTGCCACTGGATTTTTTTAAGTTGAGGTAAATGTCTTGACTTCATCTGCTCCACGTGCAGCCACAGGGAAAGGATGGTGCTGGGTCCACCGACCACCATATGGAAACATGAAATCTGATTCCTGCTGCATATGAGGTGGGCTATAGACCACATGTAAAAGTTAAGTTAATAAAAAAAAAAAAAAAACCAAAAAAAAACACCTCATGGAATGAGAAAATGAAATATCTGGAACTATTTCTCAAAGTATAGTATTAATACCCTCACAATCTATTCCAATGACAAGCTACACTGCCTGTAGAAAATTTATAATTTTTCTTAAATAGGATACAAAAAGCACTAAGTATAAAAGAAAAGATCAGTAAACTGCTCTACACTAAAATTAAGAACATCTCATCGAAAGGCCACTCTTCACAAGACGGGAATGGAAAGCCACGAGACAATGGAAAAGACATTTGTAGCTGGAAAACTGACAAAGAGCTCAAATCAGAACATACAAATATAAATGAGAAAAAGATAAGCAAATAGAAAAATGGGCAAGACACTTAAAAGGGCACTTTAGAAAGAGGAACAGCTGATAATCTCATTTAAAAGCTTCCAATCTCAGGAATCAGAGCAATGCAAATTAAAGGAAGAAATTAAAGACCACCCTCTCTCCTGTCCCTCTGAGCACGCTGGGAGCAGAGGTGAGACCTGGTAACACTCAAAGCTGGTAGAAAGTTTACCAGATGGGCATTCCTATGCATGACTGGTAAGAATACACAATTGGTTAAAAAGAACTTTTATGGAAAGATTTTCAGCATGATATATCGTGAGTCTTAAATATTCTCATAAACTTTGACTTAGTGATTCCATTTTCAAAGTTTCCAGCCTACAAAAATAGTACGTGATTACAAAGATTTATATAAAGATCATTACAACATTCAGAAGAAACCAAATCATTGTCCAATAGGAGAGAAGTTGAATAAATTATGTTAAATATATTAGCCTTTAAAAAGGATGCTTTCAAAGAAATATTTCAAATAATATATATTTATATACATAAAACGATTATTATAAACAAATAGGATAATGTCCAACTGTGAATCAAATAAAATGTTCTATTTATATATTTCCAAGTAGATAATATGTCATCCTCTTTATCCATGTATACTGAGCCCCACAAGTAAGAGGGTAACATTGCTCACATAATTCTGTTGTACATTACCGAGTGCTGGAGGGTAAGCCGTGACGGGCGGATGGAGTCCTGCTCCAGATCCCCGGCCTGTGTTTCCGATGCTTCCTTGGGACACGGTGCTGTGGGGGTCATTGGCAATTGGTGCATTGTTGCTAATGCAAGAAGTTCCCCCTCCAGTATCAGAATCTTCAATATTGCCACCACTGTTACATCCAGCCCCACAACCTTTCCTCAACCTAGGAGCAAACACCAGAGTAGGAAGCATTATCCCAAGACCACTGCTAGGCAGGTACTTTATTCTTTTTTAGCTATTCTGAATGCTTAAGGCTACTAATGGTCACCTTTGAAAGTCTTTATGGTGTAATCAATATTAGGAACAAAAAGTCTGTTATGTTTTCATATTCTCTTGTATTCACTGCCTTGATACTTCCCAATTGGCTCACTGTTCTACACTCTATCATCTTTCTACACTACAGGAAGAACTGCACAGAATAGTTGTGACATTAAGATCACAGCTGGAAACAGAATTCTTGCCAGTGTCTACTCAGTGCCTCTGAAGTCTGCAACACCTGAAACCTAATGTATTCAAATGAAACCTAACTTATGCTGCAGTACACCTGAGGGAGCTGCTGTAATGATTCCTCCTTCGCTCATTTGTCTATTTTTTATGTGTAACATGGACCAACTGTCCTGGTTTGCCCACAACTGTCTTGGTTTAAGCACTGAAAATCCTGCATCCTGGGAAACCCCACAGTCCCAGGCAAACAACAAATATTTTTTGAAAAAAAAAAAAAAAATGTCTTTGACACTACCCTGGCTTGTGTTCTTCCTTCTGTGTGGACAGGGACTGATGTTAAAATGGTGAAACCTTACTTACTCTTTAATGTTGGGTATTTCTAGAAGAATTTAAAAACACCTACTTGAGAGTTTATTGCTCTAATCCCAGATCCTATTTTTCTTAAGCTCTGATTTAAGGATCTGAACAACTCTTAAGAAATTAAAAATAGTATTCTGTGATTTTTTTCTTTACTTGTCATCACATTATGATGTTCCTACACCACACACCACAATTTACTAGACAAAATGCAGAGAAAAACATCGCGTGCATTCTTGAAGACAGACTACAGATTTGAGCTTGGAGTGATGACTGGGTTGGGAAAATAGTCGTATCTCTGCACTGTACAACCAGGAGTTTCCACATGAACTGTGCTCCCCCTACTGCTGGAACGGAATACAATAGGTAGAAGAAAGCAATCAATTTGCACAAGTTCCTCATGCTTTTCTGTAATTTGTCCTGTTTGTTGACCCACACATTCTAATAGCAGCAATATGCTGCAAACAGGTCAAAAACATTGAACAAAGGAAACTATTCAAAATTGTACTAAATGCTAAAGCAGTGGTTTTTCGCCAGAGTTGCACATTAGATTTACCTAATAAGAGCCTGAAGATATATATGCTCAGACTCTGCTTCCTGAAGTTCAGATAAAATAGATTTATATTGTGCTGTGGCACCTGTATTTTCCCTACAAACTTTCCAGGTGACACTAAAGCACACTGTCTAGCTCGAAGGTCAGGATACACCACCACCCAGTGGCTCACCTGTGCCAGGTTGACACTATGAAGTTTCTGATGTTTCCCAAACTGATAGGTCCCCCAAGAATTTCTTTAAGCTGTTCGTGGCTGTCAGAGTAAGAAGTTGTCAGGGGTGAGACAAAGATCGGGTAGCCAATAGGTTGATCACAAGATGAGTTTATCATGTTTCTCAGAGCCTGCTTTGCATTTTGGATGCTACCTCTCTCGGGGTTACGGTTCCGTAGAAATACAAGCTCCTGCTGTTGCCCCGCCCAAAGACCTCGGACACATTCCTTATTCACCTGAAAACCAGATCACATGGGAATTAGGTCATGGGGCCAAGAATGAAATTCATACAAACAGAAGCACAGAAATGGGAGGGATACAAAAGACATGACGACCAACTGTGAAAGGCAGGAAATAGGTCACGTCTGCACAGGAGTTAACCGTTTTCCATTGTCATGCACAGGCTGGTACACAGTAAGCACAGAGGACTTCTGCTCTGTCTTATAAAAATACCAAGTAAACTGTAGCCCATTTCATTTTCCAAATCTGTGAATCACTGAATTCTGTAAATGAGATATTTTTTATAGAAATTAGAGGTAACAATATTTTTAGTTTAAAGGATGTTTGTGACTTTGGGGCTTAAATGAAAAAAATAACCTTAATAAATTATCAAAATAAAATTTCAGAGATTAAGCCTCTTAAAGTCCTAAGACGTTTAACAAAAAAAACAAAAACAAAAACAAACAAACAAACAAACAAACAAAAAACAACAACAAGCAAAGCCTAAGGAAATGTTAAAGTGAACCACTGACTGGCCAGTACAAGCTACAGAACTATTTTGCAACCTAGGAATCCCATCATATTAGCAATATGGAGGTGATGTTTAAGAGATTCTGCCCAAATAGCAAACGAAATAGATTTAAAAACTACCAAAACAGAAATAAGCAAAAATGTTAAGGCTTTATAGCGCTTGAGAAAATGTCAGAGGACAGACTAAATTATTGACAAAATAAATAAAACTAAGTGCTTATAAACAATAAATGCTAATGAAATATGGTCATTTTTTTCTCCAAGAGTTTCAACTACTTTTTAAAAGTTTGGATAACGTTATCTAAGTTGCAATTTTTTTCAGATGCAAATTAATGCCTCAAAACTTACTTTAATGACCCTGAAGCTCAGGTAGCGTCTGTTGAGCATGATGACTTTATACTCGTTGGTGCCGTCATCCATGACATGCCGCAGGGCGAGCAAGGAGGGAGAGTTGGCGAGGACCGCACTCCGCCACGCAGGGTCGCCTTCGTGGGCTATTACGAGGTTTTTCTCATGAGATACAATGGCTTCATAGAGCACTGTGGGGTCATCGTACTCATCTGAAGAAGTGAAATGATCCTATACACAGGAATAAAATTTTTTTCTTTTTTTAGGAAAAGAAGAGAATGACTTCCAGGATGATATAAAAACTTCTATAGTTACTAAATCAATTACTAAATAAAAATTTCCTATTAGCACACATTAATATTATTAGACATAAAATATATGAAAAATACTCTAAAAATTTAAGTCCTGGTATTACCAGGTAAACCTAGGAAGCAGCTAAACCTCTTTGAGCCTCAGTTTTGATATTTGTGAATGCCAGCATTATCTGCAAACCAACTTGGCAAGGTTGTTGTAAGAGTGAGATGAAATAGTGTATTGGAGGACTTTTTACATTATGAAGCATTATTCACATGCACAGTGAATGCTTTTATTATTCCATGTAGGCTAGCCCTCAGACTTGGATGTGCATTCTTGGTGATACTGCCTTCTTGCTCCCCGTCACCTCCCCTTCAAACAGCACACACTTGAGTGAAAATTTATCAACCTCTCAATTACAAATGTGAAGGCAGCTGATGTAATATTTGCATTTCCTTAATAACACACCATTTCAGACATTCAGATTTGTGTTATAGTTAGTTAATTTATAGGTTTCTGAATGGGAGATACATTTCATATACTCCTTTGTTTCTTCCTTGCTACCTGCAATGGAATCTTGCACATGGTAATATTAAAAGCCTACTTATCAAATGAATGAATAGTTATTAGGTGAAGAGGTTGTTCAGGGAAGACTCCACTAGTTCCTCCAGGACTAGGAGCCGTCATCTGTTGTAAAGCTCACAACTATGAGCCATATCTCAATGAGTGAGAGGCAGGATAACATGGGCTTTAGAATCATCCTAGAGACGTGGCTCTATGTGAAAAGTGCCTGGTTAGTAAGAAACACAATTTTAGAGATTTTTTAATGTAGTTTTAGTTAGCTAACAGATGATCCTTTAACCGGAAAAATATATATATATATAAAGACATGAAAAAATCAACTTGAGTGAGGAAAACAAAGAAAATATATAAAAATTGGAAAATATTTGTTTAGCTAAAATTTAGAGGATAGGGTTGCATTGAGGAATTTACAAAAGGAGTAGTATTGCAGTAATGAGCTACATTTTTAGCTCTCTGGGAACAAAATTGTTTTTTAAAGTCGAGTCTGAGGTATGATTTACATACAATGAATGCCCCCACTCTAAAGGTAGTTAGCTGCCCTTTGACAAATATGCACACCCATGTAACCACTGCTAAGCCTAGCTAAGTCTAGATGTAGAACATTTCCGTCACCCCAAAAGGTTCCTTCCTGCCTTTTGGCATTCAATCTCTATATCCCAAGCAACCACTGATCTGCTTTCTGAATCTACAGATTCATTTTGCCTGCTTTAAATTTTATATAAATGAAACCATACAATATAGACTCTTCATATGTCTGACTTCTCTTGCTCTGCATAATGTGTGAGATTCATTCATGTTGTGGTGTCTCACAACAGTTCATTTTTTTGTCGTGTTAAGTAAACTTATTCTATCATGTGGTTATCCCATAATTTGTATGTTCATCCACTGACCGACATCTGAGTTGTTTCCAGTTCTGAGCTATTATGAGTAAAGCTGCTATGCACATTTGGTTTGTGTGGACATCTCCTTTAATTTTCTTGGGTAAATATCTAGGAGTAAAATTGCTGGGTCATATGGCAAGTATGCACTAATCCTTCCTTTTAATATATAAACCTATTGTCCACTTTTGTGGATTTTTGTGAGTATATAACATATGAACTTTGGGGATGACCAGTATTGATTTACGCATGTATCTTTTCCTGCCCAAGAGTCCCTCATGGACAATGCAATGCGTGACTAAAAGTGCTGGTCAATAAATGGGCGTTATTTGTTACTTTATAGGTCGATCTCTATTTTCCTCAAAGGCATACAGAATTACAAAACTCATCCAGGTCGCACCTGCGTTCTCTATGGCCTCCCCAGCCCTCATGGCTCCCGGCTGATTCCCCTGCCTCACCCTCCCTGTTTGTCACTGCTGTTGTCAGTCAAGCTAATGGTGAGAGGGTGCTGTTCCCAAGTGTGGGCCTGATCATAACGCAGAGAAGCTCTGTTACAGGCAACAGTGTGTCAGCCAGAGCGACATGGAGGGTACAGACTCCGAAGCAACAGGCAAGAGCACTCTAGCACGAGACTAGAGGCAGTGACCCAGGCATCAGAGGCTTTGGACCCTGTGCCTTGGCGTCTTCTCTGTCAGCGAGATGACACCATCATAATGTTTAGGATGAACTGAGATGCCTGTCAGGAACTGTGAGATAACTATGCTGTGTAAAGAGATGATTCTTACACGGAGATATTTAATTGGTACCTTTTAAGAAACCTGATTTGAAAAACATTTTAGGGAGCATTTGAAATCTTGCTTCCCAGCATTGTAGTCAGTTTGGCTCAAATAAAATTTTATACAGTAAAAATTTCTTACAGGCTTAGGCAATTCATAGGACATCACAAGACAAAAGGAGAAATACCAGACAGAGAAAAACAAAATAAATAAAAATTTTAAGTTATAGTTATTACCTTTTTCTTTTACATACATTTAATTTTGTCTCAAACTCTAAAGCTAGTCTGAAGATAACTTTATTTGATCCCAAATATATATATTTCCCCATCATCCTCACAATAGAATTCCATTTTTCAGAGATTTTTCAAATAATATATCCCTTATTAGAAATGCTCCTAAATTAACATGGGACATGAACTTCATTCCAGTACTTTAGACCACAGTAAAATCACTTGAAGGGGGGGGGGGGGGGGAGATTCAGTCAGCTATGAGCACAGCAGATGCATTTTAATGAGTCTTATCGTGTGGTCTCTATCATCAGATCTGAGTACTACTGTCAAGTGGAATGAACAGAGCAGCAAGTGCCAGTACAGCAAGTCCTCGAATGGCGTCGTTTCATTATAATGTTGATGATCCCGGCCAGGGCCGCTGTCTGTAGAGTGTGCACATCCTCCCCACGTCTGCGTGGTTTTCTCCAGGTACTCGTTTCCTCCCACTTCCTAAAGCTGTGCATGTGAGGTGAACTGGCGTGTCTCCACTGTCCCCGTCTAAGTGGGCACGGGTGTGGCTGTGTGTGGGCAGTGTCATTTAATGTCCAGGGTGGGTGCCTGCCTTGACCCCTGAGCTTCTGGGAGAGGCTCCAGCCACCTGCGACCCTGAAATGGCATAATCAGGCTGGAAAATAACTACCTTACTTGTTTTTATTCATCTTTCTTAAATACTAGAGGCCCGATGCATGAAATTCGTGCAAGAGTAGGCCTTCCTTGCCCAAGCTGCCGGCACCGGATTCCCTCCGGCCCCATGGACCCAGGCTTCCCTTGTAGCCCCGACTTTGTCCAGAAGGTCATCTGGAAGGACATCCGGAAGGATGTCAGGTCTAATTAGCATATTATGCTTTTATTATTATAGATATGTAATAATTCACATTTACTTCAATGTTTAATACTAGAAGTGTTTTAAATCTTTACTTAGATGTTTGGTGATGTTTTGGTGACCAGAAATATGCCATAGGAACTGTTGTTTATAACAATTAGCCTGTGGGAAAACTGGTTTCGTAATGTCATTTCACTTAATGTTGCAGTTTCCAAGAATCTATTGACAACATTAAGTGAGGCCTTATTGTACTTAATTTCAAAATATATTCTCAAAGTGATCCAGGACAATATGCATTGTGAGGCCTCATTTTAATTTTTTTACCCTCCTAGGATTAAACTAGGGCTAAATCTTTCCTAACCATCTATTATTCTATATAGCTAAGTGCAACTCACAGTTCAGTAACAGCAGCATTGAGGAGACTTCTGAGATGCTGCTGCACTGCACTGAGAGTCACCTAACCATCACACGGAAGAGGTGTGCATTACAACCACATGACGTCAAAGCAAGTATCACAGGGCCAAAGGCTTGTTTCCAGTTTGTCACTCACTGCTTGCACTTGTCCTAAAGCTCATGCCCAGATCGGTCAGCCTCTAACATTAATATTCAAATTAACTGGTATAAACATAGGTTCGGGATTCTAAGATAGAGCATCTTGCCATGAATCATGTTTTTCTTTGTTTCAAATTAGAATATTTCTCAAAAGGTTCCTAAGAAACATAACTTGGAAGTCAAGTGAAGAAGCACAATTAACTAGTAGAAATGGATTAGGAATTTTCTCTTCTTACCTGATGAAGTTTAATGGACATACGGATTCCAGGGACTACTACTTTTCTTAGTAATTCCATGTCAGCGAAGATCCATTCGTCTCGAATTGAAGAAATACGGAAATCTCCCTTAAACAGGGCATGCAATCCATAGAGGAATGACTCTAAATTACTGTTAAGATTGGAGATAAAACATTTACATGTTTTGACAACGGTCTTCCATTACATTGATTCTTACATCTGGTTGTGCATCACAATCATGAGAGAGTGTTTTAAAAATAGAGATTTCAAGAACTAATGTCAGAACCCCTAAAGCAGAATTATGAGGAATAGGGCCTTTTGACCTGGGACTGCGGTTTATGAACCACTATAACAGAGTCCATAAAACTAAACAACAGGCAAAGAGTATGTAAGTTAAAAGATAGTAAGGAAGGGCTAGTGGAAAAGATGAAAATTTAAAATATATGGCACTTCTTAATTCTAATTCATTCAGATGCATATGTCAAGAAATACTGTTTATATTTAGAGTTCCAAAATCTAATGTACAACTATATTCAAAGTATAAATGCTCTGGCAGAAACTGCAGTGAAGGATAAAAAAATTAAAAAAAAGGTAAATTGTTAGAAAAAGAGATGTTATGGGGTGATTATTTTTTAAATGTCTCAAATCTATTAAATTTTATCAATAGTTGCCTACATATATGTCAATTTTAAAAGCCAGTTCTGTTAACCACTTAGAACTCAACTATATTCAGCAAAAAGATCTATATAACATCTGAAGAGACTTTTGCAATAAATTAGCATAGTACGCTTCCATGAAAGACGATTCCAGACTTAGATCATACAGCTTCCCACAATCCCTTCCTAAAAACAGAAATGCCATTACCTGGACATATGGTGGGATGCAGTCCCCAGAGCTCTTCGTCCCAGAACACAGAGTCCATAACAAAGAGTCACCAGGGAGGAATCTTTGTCCACATCCAGTGGCTTAAAAAAATAAACAACAACAAAAAAGAAAGAAAAGACAGGGTGAAGGAGGCCTTAAGGTACAAATTTCTAGTTGCAAAATAAATAAGTCATGGGGATTTAATGTAGTGATTATATGTAGCAATACCATATTGCATATTTGGAAGTTGTTAAGAGAGATCTTAAAAGTTCTCATCACAAGGGGAAAAAAAATTACAACTATGTGTGGTCATTGAAGTTAACTAGATTTATGATGGTGACTATTTTGCAATATATACAAATACAAAATCATTATGATGTACTCCTGAATGTCAATTATACCTCAAAAAAAAGAAAAACAAAGAATGTTAATAATCAAAAGGGTATATATGTATTTATCAAATCAGAATATATCTATTTAATGAATCAGAGAGATTAAGAAACTCAACTAGTCTCTACCTCCTCAGATAAGTTTTAATGAAAAGAAACAACAAAACACTCTATGAGGAGGGTCTTTGGAATCTTTAAATAAAATCTAATACTTTATAATACCAGGATGTAAAAAAAAAAGAACCAGGTATAAAGTACTTAGATGTTTAGCTAAGATCCTAATACTCTATAGAAGAACCCCGTTGCCATACAGAGTTACAAAACTTTTTTCCTCGTGGTAAGAACTCTAAGATCGGCTCTAACAACTCAGGAGGGTACTGCCTCGGTAATGGGAGAAAAATCAGCTCCAGACTAATGGCTGGTCCCTCCTAAGAAAGCTTAAAAGCAAGCTCAGAAAAGATCCAACTGTCCCCAAAGAATTTAATTGTCACAGAGTTAAGGTCAAGAATATTTATAGGACTACAAAAATATTCAGCACCCATCAAGGTAAAATTCATAAAGTCCAATAAAAAATTGTCAGGCATGTGAAGTAGCAGAAAAATATGACCCATAAAAGAATAACCAATTAATCACTCACTCAATCAAAATTGTCCCAAAATCGACACAAGATGTCAGAATTAGTTAATAAGGACATTGAAAATGTTATTACAACTGTTCAAAAAGATAGCGGAATGACATCATGCTAAGTAGAAACATGAAAGATTTATACAAAAGACAAGTTAAACCTCAAGAGATACCAAAAATGCAATGTTTGAGATTAAAAAAAAAATGCTGCACGAGATTAACGGCATATTAAACAATGCAGAAGAAAAAGTAAGTGATTTTAAAATATAGCAATAGAAACTTTGCAAAATTCAACAAAGAGATAAAAGAGACTGAAAAAGGCATCAGTGAGCTGTAGGACATCAGGCAGCCTAATATGAATATAACTGGAGTTTCCAAAAAAGGGAAGAGGAGGACAGAAAAAAAATGTTTGAAAAAATAATGGCTGAAATATTTCCAAATCTGATGAAAACTATGTACTTAAGACTAAAGCAGGTACTACATCTAAAGACAGTGTGTACACCCAGACCACAATAAAGATGCTAGTTGTCCAGGTGGCTCACTATGCTCTGAGACAGAGAGTAATCTTGTACCTAGGTGGTTCAACTACACCAGACTTTGCTTGGAAAGCAACAGTGGTGGTAGGAATTAGCTTTTGGAACCACAGGCCTTGCTTGGTATTGTGATTGTGTTACATGGAGTCTAACTAGGGGAGCATCATAGCCAGGAGGGCCATGAGACCTAGAAGGAAAGCTGCAGTTGGTGAAGTCTATAGCTCACCTTATTTTTAGGATCAGACAAGTTATCCTGAAGTGTGATTAGGAACCAAATGAATTACAATCAACCAAGGTGAAACAAATTTTGGATCCTCAGCCTAGACCCGTGGTCAGCAAACTGCGGCTCGCGAGCCACATGCGGCTCTTTGGCCCCTTGAGTGTGGCTCTTCCTAAGCCTCAGGAGTACCCTAATTAAGTTAATAACAATGTACCTACCTATATAGTTTAAGTTTAAAAAATCTGGCTCTCAAAAGAAATTTCAATCGTTGTACTGTTGATATTTGGCTCTGTTGACTAATGAGTTTGCTGACCACTGGTCTAGGCCAAGCACGTCAAACTCAAAGGCTAACATGGGCCAAATAAACAAGGTTTAAGTTTCTGTGGGCCGCAAAAAAAACAAAAGCTTCAATTTTCATAGAAACGTAGGTTTATTTCAATAGAGACATGCTGAATACAAAGGGCTGAAATAAATGAGTAATTGTTAACATAAAATAATAGAACATTTTAATAAAAACTAATATTTTTTCTTGAACATTAACTTACCAGACACTGAATAACTGCATAAATTAATAAGCGTAACACAAATAAACCTATTTTTCTTGTTCTGCTAAAGTGAAATATTTCCTGTTGTGCACATCAAACAAGTCAGTACAAGACTAATGACATGGCAATCAGCTGCTAAAATATGCGCTGCTAGTATTAGTGGAGAGAAATGGTGCACCTGCGTGTAAGGCACGTAAGGGAAATGAATGCAACACGATTATAGTAATCAGTCATTAGCGAACGTTTTAGTTTGTTATTAATAATTATGTATAATAGGATATTGTAAAAATTAAGTTATGACATTTTTATTAAAATGTTTCTTACATACCATTATATTGGCTGGGCTGCAAAAATATTTGCATGCGGCCCGCGAGTTTGACATGCTTGGTCTAGGTGAATAGTCATACTGCCCACATTTCAAGTGTTTAACCATAGCCAGATGTGGTGGTTTAGTAACTACCACACTGGATCAGCATAGAACATTTCCATCATCACAGAAAATGCTATTAGACTGCACTGGTTTAGACTTTGAATTTGGTTTGCATTTGGGACAAAGATATTAAATTATTCTGGTGTGTGAGAGTGTGTGTGTGAGGTGCTGCAAAATGTAGAATTTAAGGAGCTGCCGATGACCTGTAACCTAATTTTGTGTATACGTATGTGCACACACAGGACGGAGGCCACGCTAATTAGAGGGTGAGATTATGACCCTGCAGGTGAAAGAACGAGGCAGAGTTGTTTTGGCAGAGTTGGTTAGTTTGGCCCAACCATACTGAACCAGACAGGTCAGAAATAGGAAGGCCTGGAAAAACTGACCTCATAATGAAAAGATAGTCTTCCCATCTTTAGAAAAACGGACTCAGAGTTATAAATGAAATAACTCTACCTTTGCCCTTCGGGAAGAGCAATACTCGATCCAGTTGAGGTAAATCACACAGAAACTCTCCCTGGATATGCCCGCCAGTCGATGGTCATAGTCTTCATCAATGTTGGGATTAAATGTCGGGTCCACATCCACATAATTTCGATCCGCGTACAGACGTAGTCCCTCCTGCATTGTCTCATTAGCTAGCCACTCTTCTAGCTTAGAAGAGGTTGTAACGTAATAGATGATTCCCTAATGAGGAAAAGATAAAAGCAAAAATTTGAGCTAAATCACATTTGAATTAATTTCAATCTTCAGTAAATAAATTCCAACTGTTTATATTGACAATACAAATCAAAAATATATTATTCTGGCTCAATATTATAAATATACATCTTAAGAATGCTATAATAGTATGTACCTCAGGTCTTCCTGGATGAAAAAAACATTTAATTTAATACTTTTAAAATTACAACCCACAAATTTAGCAAGGCAACTTCAAAAATAATTCTAGTTTACTGATTTTGGGGCTTTTGAATTTAGAATCTTTTAAGAGAGGTGAAAAGCCTTTATTGTGGTGCATTGCTTTTGAAAATTTTCTTATAGAAAACTACTAAATCATCCTGTTATCCTAGCTGAAGTTATAGAAATATATCTAACTAGAGGACTGATGCACGAAATTCGTTCAAGGGGCTCAACCCTCGCAGCCCCGGCTTCATCCGGAAGGTCATCTGGAAGGTCATTCGGCTGTCCGATCTAATTAGCATATTACGCTTTTATTATTACAGATGATAAAGCAATAGAAATATACATACTTAGAGACAGAAAATGCCACACACACAGACGTAAAATTTGTAAAATCAATCTATCTTCCTGAGGTTGTGTTTAACAAAACATTAAATAGAAGACTCAAGGTTCACCCCAGCCAGCACAAGTAAGGTGGCATATATAGGTAACAACACAAAATATGAAAAATTCAGATAAGGGTCATTAAAATTTAGCACATATTTTCCTCCTGAAAATATTGGCTTTGCCTGCAAGCTCCCAAATCATAACCATGATGTACTTCTGCAAAATCTTTAGCAAAAACAAACAAAAAAACAACAACAAAAAAAACCCTGTGTAGTATAGAACTAACCCTGCCCAAAGAGTTTTGGGCTTTGCACTTGGGTCCTGGGAAGTAAGCTCTAAAAGAGTTTTTGTTCACCTGGAGGCTTAGAGCTTTGACCTCTAGAGGGGCTGGAGACTAAAGTTGGACATGTAGGTGCCCAATCACATCTAAGTGATTTCACTCCAAAAAAAACCTCTTCACCCTGAGGCCCAGGTGAGCTTCCTTGATTGACAACACTCTGTGAGTATTATCACACACTTGGCAGGAGAAACAGGCATTGTTGGTGCAATTCCACTGGGAGAGGACAACTGGAAGCTCATGCCTTGGTATCTCTGGACTCTGCCCTATGTGCCTACTTGGTTGATCTTAATCTGTATCCTTCCACCTTAATAAATCCTACCTGTGAGTATAATGGCTCTGCTGAGTTCTGTGAGTCCTTATAGCAAACTACTGAACCTGAGTGATCTTGGTGACCTCTCAAATCTTGCAATACTTTTATTCAGCTTGTTGAAAGTAGTGCAAAGCAGTGGTTAACAGCAAGGGCTTAGGAGTCAGACAAGCCTAGATTTTAAATCCCTAACTTTACTTGCTAGTTAGAGATCTTTGGGCAAGTAGACTTCTATTCTTAATTTGTTTATTTGTAAAACAGGGATGTAATATTACTTTAGAGCAGTGGTCGGCAAACTCATTAGTCAACAGAGCCAAATATCAACAGTACAACGATTGAAATTTCTTTTGAGAGCCAAATTTTTTAAACTTAAACTATATAGGTAGGTACACTGTTATTAACTTAATTAGGGTACTCCTAAGGCTTAGGAAGAGCCACACTCAAGGGGCCAAAGAGCCGCATGTGGCTCGCGAGCCGCAGTTTGCCGACCACTGCTTTAGAGAATTAGGTAAGATACATGTATGCGTATGTGTATGTATATTCCTCAGCATATTACTTTAGAGAATTAGGTAAGATACATGTATGTGTATGTGTGTGTATATTTCTCAGCACAGTGCCTAGAACATATGAGCTACAAATGGTAGCTACTAATATTAATGAACAATGAATAAGTTTCACTAAAGAAAAAAACAGAGGAAACCTTCATAGGTATAATTTAGTGACTATACTGGATACTAGAGAATTGAAATCACTATATAGAAGCAAAGCACAAGTTAAAAAATTTATATATATATATATTGTATATATATATATAAAATTTTATATATATCTTTTTCAAGAAGAGTCTTCAGTTACTAGAAGAGCTAAGTAGGCGCATACCCTACCTTGACATAGTAAGTGGTGAGTACTTTTCGAAGATCAAAGACTTGAAGCATAGAAGCAGCACTGTTGTCAGTGATGCTGTAACCCTCCAGAATGTACTTGGTGACTATGACTTCCCAGGCCAGCCAGCGCTGGCTAAATGCAGCATTGAATGACAGCACATGAGGAACATGGCCGGGTTCACAACAGCAAAACCCTTCATCTTCTTCCACACCTTCAGTTATAGCCTCTACTTCCCGCTGTTGACAGTAAGTACCTTAAAAAAAGAGAGACAGAGACCACTTACAAAGGGAGGACAAAATCATAAAGTTTTCAAATGCTTTAAAGACAAGAAATCTAGAGAGAAGACCGTTTATAGCAAATGAAAGTATGTGACTGATTGCCTTAGAATGGTCATTAACAAACGGCAGCAAGCTCCTGAGACCAGGCACACTGTATATTCATCTCCTACAGAATCACATGCATTAGCACATTCAAGGTTCTGAGGGTTTGTACCATAGAGTAACTAACCTCCTTCATTTTTATTCACCAATTCCCAAACTTTTCAAATTGGGTTTATAACTGCATTCCTATCAAATGAAGACCAAATAAGTAAAGGTATATCTCATGAGGGTTGTGTTAATTCTGAAAAGGAAGAGTGGAATGAGAAACGAATCATCCCAGGGCACCTAATACAGATGGACATGCAGAACTCAAAAGAATGAAAGCTGTTTACCAGCATCATGTCCACGCTGCAAGCCAATATGTTATATACATCCTGCTTATTTGGCTGTATAACTAGTAACAGTTCATTATAATTTAATGTTAAATACATAATTAAAATTTTTCTGTTGCCAATTCCAATAATATGGATAAGATTACATAACTGGCATTTGAGTTTTACCTGCTGATACAAGTTTCAATTATGTATGTATGAAGACTGATTATTCTGCACTAGCAAACAATGCTTTGAAGTTACATTCTTTTATACAAGATACTCATCAAACAGCCATCCTCTGCATTAGTGTTATTGAAGTAAAAATACAAAATTAGATTAAATATTGAATTAGACTCACAGCAATCTAATACTAGCAAAATATCACCCATCACACTGATGTTAATTTTTATTTTGTTATGTGGTCTTGCTTCTATTTAATTTGTAAATTCTTTATATTATATAAGAACTTAAATATATTAAATTGAATTATAATAAAAATAACAAGTGGCACTATACATTTTTTTTCCTTTAGAGAGAATGTATATACCATCCATGTTTAAAACACATCGCTTTGAAAGAAAAAGGTGCCAGGAAACCTAGTCCGACATGGTGGTGGTGGTGGTGGTGTAATAAAAGATATGCTGAATAGGTAAGCTTAACCAACCTAATAAAATGTATGATTAGTTCTCTAGAACCATCAGCAATTTTATTATTTTCTACTTTAATTATATTGGCAAACACTTCCAAAATAATGACACATTGTAGTAACAAGAAAAACTGTCTTGAACTTGACAATAACAGGAATGCCTGCTGTAGTTGATGATTGCCCATGATATGACTATATACATACATATATATTTTCTTTCAGAATAGGAACATATGTAATCTTATAAAGTATTCTTCAAAGAAGTAACGGAAATAAAATTTAATCAAATGTCCTTTGGCATCTTTCGAGAGAATCATATTACATTGTTTACTGTGATCTATTAAAAGAAGATGAATTCTACTAATATGCTATTTTAGTACTTAAATTAACTTAAAAGGACCAATTACTAAATTGGTGAGGGGTACTTAAAGTATTGCTGGGTTTTGCTTATTCTGGGTTCTGAGGATTTTTGCATCGATAGTCATCATAAGTGAACTAAACTATAATTACATTTTTAGCCAGTTTGATCATCTTCTGGTATCAATATTACACTGATTTTGTAAAAAGTCTTGAGAAACTGTCCTTCTTTATCCATGGGCTAGAACAGATTAGAGAGGTGGGAAGAATCAGTCAATTTCTAGAAGGAACTTCCTGAGCCTGGGTTTTTTAAACTGTGGCATGAAGTTGGGTCTATTCCTTAGGTTTGAAATTCGTTTTATTATTTCCTTATATTGACTTTATCCTCTTCTTTGGAAGGCAGTCAAAGGTTTTTAAGTAAAGGAAATAACACGTAGAGCTATATTTGTGCAGATCACTTTGACAGTGGCTTTTAGAGAAGAGACGTGGCAAGAGCGTTCTGACTTTTACTCAGGAGACACAGGGACCTTGTTCAGAGTAGCAGAAAGTTAATAAGGTATGAATTAACACAGGATATTTTTACTTTACCAAACAAACCCCAAGAATATTTTCTAGCCCTAGCCTGTTTGGCTCAGTGGATAGAGCTTTGCCCTGTGGACCGAAGGGTCCTGGGTTCGATTCCGGTCAAGGGCACGTACCTCAGTTGCAGGCTCCTTCCTGGTCCGCGCCCTGGTCAGGGTGCATGCAGGAGGCAACCAATTGATGTGTTTCTCTCACATCAATATTTCTCTCTGTCTTTCCCTCTCTCTTCCATTGTCTCTAAAAATCAATGGAAAAATATCCTCAGGTGAGGATTAAAAAAAATACAAAAGAACCCAAAATAATATTTTCTACTTCAACATACCCAAGTAATACATTTTGCTTCAAAAATTAAGGCAACAACAAAAAGAAAACAAGCACAGGAATTGATATTAATAATTGAAAACATAATTTTGAGACTTGGAAAGGGATTCTACAATATTTACGAGGATCTACTACCAATTACCTAGATCTTTCAGTCACTTGATAGTGAAGATAACGGGTAAAATTAAATAAATAAATAAATAAATAAAAATTATGAAAACTAGATATGTTAGAATTAATTTGAGTAAAAAATGAAAGAAATCCAATTAGCATAATTTTTTTTTTTTTACCTATAATGTTTGACTTAGAAAACTGTACTTGGTAGAAGTAACTTTTATACATAAAAAGTTTACACGATAGAAGCTGTAATCAGACAATTCCGATAGAAAAAATGAATTGGTAACTCAAATCTTGACATAAATTTACATAGAAAAGAATCTTGAAAAATGAAATAAATATGAGGAAAACAGATCAAGAAATTTGTTTAGTTAAATGTCACTTAAAACTTAGCATCCACAAGAAGATACACTAAAATCGAAGGACTTAAATTGGCTTAATGGAATTTACCAGAAAACATATAAAAATGCTCAGCAGATCCAAATATCTGCCTGGCAAAATACTGACACTCTTGACTAATATTTTGAGGGGTCAAAGGTAGCTACAACGGGGCCAATGTTGTGAAGGAAAGAAGTTCTGGAATAAAGAGAAAGGAGAAAAAGCTCTATATTTACATTAATGATTCTATAAAATTAAATATGAATTATATGCTAACTGCAGTGATAGGTGCTGGACACATAATGATGAATGAAGCAGGTCTGATTCCTGCTCTTGAGGAGCTTAAAATATACAGCAAAGGCTTACAAAATACAACCTTGAGCCTGGCTGGCGTGGCACAGTGGTTGAATGTGGACATATGAACCAGGAAGTCACGATTTGATTCACGCTCAAGCCCCAGTGTGGGTTGTGTAGGAGTTAACTGATCAATGATTCTCTCTCATCATTGATGTTTCTATTCTCTCTCCCCTCTCCCTTCCTCTCTGAAATCAATAAAATATATATATTTTTAAAAATAACCTTGAGCCAAACTCAAGTCAAGAGTGATTTTTAAAGGGTTGTTTAGAAGACAAATATGTAACAGAGAATGTACATATAGGCCCAAAAGTTTATAAACACAAATAAACATAAAATTAAAACTATGCTACGCACTAAGGAGCTAAAAACAGAGTAATAATAGAGATAATCATGTAGGACAGGTGGTTAGAGAAGGCTTCTCTGAAAAATTGACATTTAAGCTATTACTTAAAGATAATTATAGGATTAGCCAGATGTGAGGTTGGTGGGAGGAGGGGGGATGGTTGGTACTTTCTGGGCAAAGGGAAAGGCAATAGGAGTCCTTAGTAAGGAATTTAGCAAGAATCTGGCAAGAGAGTGAGGAGGTGATACAAAAAGCCAGGCTGGAGACACTGGCAGAGGCCAGATCACGCATGCTGCAGGGCATGTTAAGAAGTTGAATTCTATTTTAAATGTAATGGGAAACCATTAAAAAACTTAAGCATGGAAGGAACATTGATCAAGTTTGCCTTTTAAAAAAGTCACTACAGCTGACTAAAGAATTACAGGTACCCCTCGCTATCCACATCCAGCAAGAATTCAGGTAGTAAGAGGTACTTACTATGTTCCCAACTTGGTTTGATTTGAATTTTGTTTGGCAAACAATAAGAATTTGGATGGCAAAGGATTTATCCAAAATTTTATTTGAAACTCCTTGGTACCAGACAGTGAAAGTTGGGAGACTGACAGAATTTGGATCAAATTTTCTTTGGAGAATTGCTTTCTCTCTTTTTTTGAAATCCTCACCCAATGATATGTTTTTATTGATTTTGGAGAGAGAGGAAGGGAAGGAGAGAGAGAAAAACACATCAATGTGAGAGAGAAACATTGATCAGCTGCTTCTCATACGTACCCCAAAGGGGAACAGAACCTGCAACCTAGGTACGTGCCCTGACTGGGAATCAAACCCACAACCTTTTGGTGTATGGGACAATGCTCTGACCACCTGAGCCACCCAGCCAGGGCATGATTTGGAGAATTTCTGATCAATATAGTAGATTGAGCAAATAATAAAAAGGACCCCCTTCCAATTCACACACACAGGAATGCTAGATGAAATAGCCTCCCACAGATATTTGTTAAAAAAATAAAAAAGTTAAAGTTTAAAAGCAAAGGTGAAATCTTCAGGTGCCAACAATTTAAAAAGAAGCTGAAGTCATAGCAGTGGTTGGTGTAGTGGTGAGTGGGTGCTGACTCTTGATGAGTCTAGTTGGATTAGATTTGAATAGCACTAGATAAGACTCTAGAAGAGATGGAATTAAGGTCCATAAGACAAGAATAGAAGAACGAGAGAGAGAGAGAGAGAGAGAGAGAAGTAGAGAGAGAGAGAGAGAGAGAGAGAATGAGCCACAAATAGATTACAAATGAGTAACAAACATCAACATTTACTGCCTTAATCTGAGTGTGTCTCACAAGTAAACTCTTATTTCCCATGAATGGAGTAACTTTAGAGAAGCACTTGTTCCATTAACAAAAGATATTATATGACATTTGTTATATGATTCTACACCACAACAGGGTGTAAGTCTGATTTGATCCTCTATCTAGTCAAATGCTTCTTATTTTTTATTTCAGGTTAAAAGCACACAAGGCACTTCTTAGAATACATCAAAACAGCTTAGATGCTCTCTCTAAAAAGTCCAAATGTTCACTAGATTGGAAAGATATACATTAATAGGATGTTCTTCAATTCCTAAAAAACATATTTCTATTCATACTTACAAGATATTCAACTTATAGCACTACATAACATCAAGTTGATGTTTCTGAATGCATGATTTTCTGTGTATAAATAGTTTCATTTGTCTTATACGAAACTGTTTAGGGCTGGTGAAGCAACGGGGAGTAACTGCTTAATGGGTGTGGGATTTTACTTTGGGGAGATGAAAATTCTTTGGAACTAGACAGGGGTGGTGGTTACACAACATTGTAAATGTACTAAAAGCCACTGATTTGTTCCCTTTAAAATTGATAATCTGATGTTATGTGAATTTCACTCCAATAATAATTTTAAAAAAGTTGTTGAGGACAAAGGCTTGACGTCCGTATGAAAGTAACTTGGTTAACTACTCTCTGCCTCACACAAAAGACCACACTGCCTTCTGTCAGCCATCTAACAGATACAGAGAGCAAGCACAGAACCACAGAAATTCAGCATCACCAGGAAAACAAGTCACTTACACACTAGTGGTACTGCCTTTACATATATAGCATATTGCAATAGTGAGTCTTTTTGCAATATGAAATTTTGGGGGGAAATCTAATAATTACTCTGTAACAACTTTTCTCATTCTACAAGTCCAAAGACTAAGGATCAAACTTAAAATTTTTGATTTGGAATGTAAACACAGAAAACTCAGATACCACAGGAGTACATTATAGAAATAAAAGGTGTCTATCTTACCTCTGAATTCAAGTCCCCGCAGCTGGAAAGTGACCAGCCCGTTGCCGATCTCTATAAGGTGTACTAATGCATTGAGGTAGTCAGAGGCAAGAATGAAACAGTCCCCTGTACTGTAGTTTCCCCACCGTCCTAGGAGCAAATCACCACAGAGACTGTGTTGTAGGGATCTGGTTAAATGTTCATAAAAGATGGAATTCAGATTGTTGTCATCTGATCCTACAAGAAGGGATTTTTTTTAAATGTTAAACTTTACTTTAAAACCACTTTATATGAATATACAAGAGTGTTAAACATATTAAAACTAATTTCCAGTTAGGGTTGTATCTTTATTTTTTGACAAGGACAATAATATTCAAACTCTTACAATTTTTATATAAAAACGAAATACAGAGTAATAGCGAAAGTTCCAGAATTTAGGGTTAGAAGTCACATAGCCTCTCTGAATTTCTGGTCCCCATCCATAAAATGCAGGAATTAGAGTACATGAAATCTAAGGTCGTTCCACCTTTTTAACAGCCCATGATCTTTTCTATCACTGTTCAATTAACCATGCAGGAGAAACAAAATTTTTTTTTTCTAAAAATCAGAACTAGGACAAAAAGACATACTAGTAAAGAAAATGGGTAATTCAAGACTTGAACAAACAAGATAGTTCAAAACAAAGATAAATTATCAGTCAAAATAATTTGTATATTGAGATGGCTAAAACTAATTTTCAATGGAAATAAACTGTATATATAAAAACAGCAGCAAAGAACCTACAAAAGTTTAAGAAAAAAATAGAGTAAAACATTACCCAATAAATGAAATGACCATCTTCAGAAATAACCCATGCAAGGCAATTACCTGTAAATGGATGCCTTTAAACTCAGCCTAACTAAATAATAAAATAATGAAAGGGGAACGCCAGACTCTATCTTCAATAAAATGGTCCGGTATAATGCTCTGTCTGACCACTACAAAGTATGCATACTAATTCATATTAACTCGGGACACGGCCTCTTTGGTATGCAAGAATGGTATCATCAGCATCGTGAGAATTCCATGCCCCTTACAAAGATATACTAGAGCTGAGATGGTTGTTTTATCTACCAGAATGTGATAATGACAGCCATTAATATCAATTAATCCAATTTTATAATTATGAATTAATCTGATTATTATAATTTAATTTCTTAAGTAGACAGCATTGCAAGGAATCTTCAAGTCAAATGAATACAAATATTTCAGTCTATTTGGGAGTAATATTTCTTTTAGTAAATTAATTTATTGGATTTCTGTGGTTGGAGAAATGTGATTCACACTTTCTGTGTCAGATTACTAATGGGTGGGCCAACAAGTTTCCCAAACGACAAAACTAAGAACCAGACTTTAGAAACGGTAACACTACCAAGTGGTACTCAATAAGGCCCTGTGTTGAATGGCTATTTAGCCCTCCTACGTGACATCGCTATGTCAATTAAGTAAATGAAGTTAAATTAACATTTACCTAAACATTCAGGGAAGGGGGGAAACAAACATATTAATAAAACACATACTGGTTAGATTACATAGTATTCAAGACAGCTAACCAATTTTACTTTAACCATGTTCTACTTTTTAAACTATATAAGAATAATCTTTGAATGGCAATTTTATCCCTATTAGTGTTCTTAAAATACATTTCATCAAATAAGAATATCAAAGTTGTAGATACTCTAATTCATGTATATTTTGCTAAAGTAAACAAAATAAAGCAAAAGGTATTTGGTTTAAAATGACCATTTGGAACTCACGCAGGATTCCTAACATGTTGGGGAATGAAATATATATGTAACAAATTCATTAGACAGGCTTCTTGATTCACAAACAAAGGTGTTACCTGGGTTTCTATCAAGCTGGGAAGCCAATCTGGTATTTGAATGATCCACTCGTTTTGTGCTGAAGATGGCAAAATAAAACATTTTTAGTCATCTTTTTTATATTTAAAAATGCCTACTAAGAAAAAACTATACAATAGTGATGAAATAAATATTACCACTTTATGACTATCTCTGAGAAAAATCTATGATTAGCATATTGGTAAAACTCTGCAGTAGCACAATAGGTAAGGTGTATTTTTTTTTACTCTCCCACATCCATCATACATAAACACAGCAGTTATTTCCTAACCGTGTGTCACCGAACAGTGTGTAGAGAGACATTGATGAGTTTAATGTAAAAACATCATTGAGCAGGATGAGAAAAAAAAATCCACACTGTATACAGACCTTACAGATGCACAGTGCATGAAACATCCTTTGCAAGGGGAAGGTATATCTATTAATGCCCAGTGTTCCTTTTAACAGTGGTTTCCAAAAAGTGGTCCATAGAAGCCTGAGCAGGGAACTCAAGACCCTTCCAGGGAATTTTCCAGATCAAAACTATTTTCAAAATAATATTGAGCAATTATTTGTTTCTTTCACTGTGTTGGCAATTGCACTGATGGTACAGATCAAGGTGGGTAAGACTGTTGGTGCTTTAACATGAATCAAGGTAGGGGCACCAGACTGTACTATTTGTTACTGCCACACAGGCACAAGACAAAATACAATAAATAAAAATTCAACTTCCACTTTAAAATGTCCTTAATGAACAAATATTAATTTTATTAAATTACAAGCCCTTTTTTTAACACAGTGTGTGGCACGTATAGCACCTCTGCTGCGTGCTGAATAGGGTGGGTGTCTTGAGGGAAAGCATTGTGCAGCTGCTGGATTTACAAGCTGCACTGGGTACATTTTCTCACAGGAGACATTTTTACTTGAATGGCTATTGGATAAACTGTGATTATTCAGCTCTGGGTATTTGACAAACATTTCTCAAAAATGAAGACAGTGAGTCTGCCATTTCAAAGAAAACAACTGACAAGGGTATCTGTTGCCAATAATAAGAGTTTTAAGCAAAAATTAGAATTTTTGAAGACATATTTACCACCATGAGCTTGATAGTATCTCAATACTCAAATAGTTTTCTTTTGGGATTGGAGGTGATATGAATGAATACATTTTAAAAAATATTATATAGTGAAATGTGTCAAAATTCGGAAGCTCTGCATTACTCAGTTGAACCCATATTTCCTAAGTGATCAATAAAAGATGTTATAAGATTATATGTAGGTAAAAAGATCCAGGTAAAGTGTTAGACTTATCAGTGGATTATGATGTAACACAGTTCCAGAAATTCATGGATATGGTTTTAGATTCCACATTTTAACTAATCTTTAGGAAACAAACCATTTGTTGACTTTTACTGAAAGATCAAAGAATATCCACAGTTGACTAAAAAGGCAATCAAAACATTTCTTTCTTTTCCAACTATGTCTGTGAGGCCAGATTTTCTTCATACTGGTATACTTCAACCAAAACAGTATATGGCAACAACAGACTGAATGCAGCAGCAGATAAGAGAATCAAGTTTTTTGGTTTTTTTTTAAATCCTCATGGAGGATATTTTTTCCATTGAGTTTTAGAAAGAGTGGAAGGAAGAGAAACACCGATGTGAGACAGACACATTGATTGGTTGCCTTCCGCATGCTCCCGGCCTGCAACCGAGGTACGTGCCCCTGATTGGAATCAAACCTGGGACCCTTCGGTCTGCTGGCCCACACTCTATCCACTGAGCCAAACCGGCCAGGACTTGAGCTGTCTTTTATTAAGCCAGACATTAAAGAGATTTATAAAACAATGACACTTCTCACTGATTTTTTTGGTGGGATGGAAAATTTAGTTACTTTTATTTCAAAAATTATTTTTGTTTATTTGTAATGGGTTTATTTTTGTTTATTTGTAATGGGTTTATTTTTGTTTATTTGTAATGGGTTTATTGTTGCTATTTTTAAAATAATAAACATTTAAATATAAGTTTTCTAATACAGTAAATATTGGTAGATAAAACCCATAGCAACAAAAACTCTTTGGAGACTTTCAATAACTTTTTGTTGTTGTTAATCCTCACCTGAGGATATTTTTTCCATTGCTTTTCAGACAGAGCGAAAGGGAGGGAAGGGGGGGAGAAATATCAATGTAAGAGAGACTCATGGCTGGCTGCCTCCTGCACCCACCCCAACTTGGGGCGGGGAGCAAACATGAAACCCAGATAAGTTCCCTTGACTGGGAATCAAACTGTGCATGGCCCATGCTTTAACTGCCGAGCAACACTGTCCAGGGCTCCAATAACTTTTAAGAATGTAAAAAGGTTCTGAGACCAGACAGGTTAAGAACTGTGGCCACAGATATAATTTGGGGCTAAATTTAAGTTGTCCCAGAAGAACAGAATATTAATAACACTAAAATTCATCAAAAGGGAAAACACCATGTGTGGTTTTTAGATAAAAAGACCAGAGCGAAAGTTTCAAATCCATAAGCTAGTTCATTGTTTAAATGGTAAGACTACCATTTTCACCTATATATGCCAACATGTGAAAGAGTAGAAAAAAAGCAGTCATGGAACTGGCCAGTAGAATTACAAAGCAGTATAAGCCTTTTCTGAATCAATGTTAATACATATAAAATGTTAAAGCTCCATGACTCAGTAAGTTTCCTTATAGATAGTCTTTCTTAACTTAAGAGGAAAAAAAAGAAATTTGGAGAGATTGCATAAAAGGATAATTTTTAGGCATTAGGTTAAACAGCCTGAGGAACTAAGCCTAAATGGAGAAAAGTTCATGTACAAAATGGTCACTGAAAACTTATCTTAGTGAAAAAAACAGAATCTACACTAATAAAAGAGAAAAATGGTAATTAGCGTACGACCGCTACCCTTCCCATTGGCTAATCAGCATATCCTTATGCAAATCAACTGCCAACTAAGATGGCGGTTAACCGCCAACAAAAATGGCGGCTAATTTGCATATGCCCAGGCGAAAGGGGAAGGACTGAAGAATGGTGATCGGCAACCCAGGCGGCAGGCAAAAACTAGGGGGTGGGCAAAGGCCGCCTTTCCCCACCCCACAGCCGGTGATCGCCATTGGAAAGCCGGGCAGCAAACCCGACCCCAGGGGCCGGGGTTGTCGGCTGGCCTGCGCCCAGAATCCCCATGGCATCGGAGGGCGGGAGGGCCCAGGCGCAGGCCAGGCGGCAACCCCAGACCCTACTGGGGCTGGGGTTGACGGCTGGCCTGCGGAGCGATCCCC